GCACAAAATGGGCTTCAGTGTTCTCCGCGAACTTGCCCTTAGATGGCAACTTTGGGAGCTGATGAGCTTGTGTGCGAAAACCAGGGCGGTGAGGTTACTTGGTCATTTTCCTTTCTTCTCTTCTCCCCCTGCTTAAAAAAAAAATGTTGGCTGGGTTAGAGGGAGGGTGGGAGAGGAGAAGGGATTTATCTGTTTCGGCTGAGGCTGCTGGAACGCTGCCCCTCCCCTGGAGGAGGCGGCCAGCTGCAGCCTGCCCTGCCGGTGACCTTGACCCTGACCTCCTGCGACTACCCTCAGTCTGAGAGGAAATTCAGGCTCCATTTTAGCTCCGATGTCTGTGGGCCTCTCCTGCGGGTTGCTGCCTGTTGATGAAGTTGTATTTTGAGAGTAGGCTCCCTCCTTGTTCTCTGATTGAATGCTGTTATCTACTCTCTTAAAAAAAAAAAGCCTCTCTCTTGCAGTCACATTAAGCCACTTTTACCTAAGTAATAAGCAATTTACTTTTGGAAGCACAGTAAACGTTCCTGCCCCTACACGCCTCTTTTTAAGGGAAGCCTTACTTTGGAAAGCATATCCACCTCTTATTGAATGGATTTTTTTTTTTTTTTTTTTTTTTGTGGCTATGTACTGCCTTTTCTGAGCAGGGTTTACACGTGTTTTATAAGCAATTTACATTTTGAGTAAGAGCAATTTCTGGGCAAATGGTGTATTTTGCAAGCCTGTCATAGTAACCCAGGGCTTGCTAAGAGCCCAGTGAGGATCTCAGAAACTTGAAAATGATATATAGACTTAAGACATACCAACTTGGGTAAAAGTGAATGTTAATTTTTATCCAGTACAGAATATAGTTGGAGAATACGTCCTAGTTTTCAATACTGAACTGTTATTTACGTTTGAGAAAAGGGCCCCTCCCCTGGGAGAACTATTTTGTATCAAGGTTAAAATACAGTTGAATCTGGGGATTCAAGGTGCCTGGTAGAAGTCATTTTGGAGTTTTAAGAAGCTAAATAGAGACAGATCTAAACGTTGTGTGTCTTGTAGCTGAAGCAAGGAGGTGATTAAATGAATCAACTGGGGAAATTTAAGTTGCTTCTAAAGCCAGAGACCCTTTTGAGTAAATGTAGAAGTTAGGGCCACTATTGGTATGTTGATTTTAAAATTGAAAGCACCTGTAAACATTCAAGAAATGTACCCTGTGTGTGCCACATACAACATATTCTCACACACTTGTGCTGTTAGACTTTGTAGAATGGTTGAAAGGCTTTCCACATGAGCCAGCACACTCTTTGCCTTTGTACCGTAGCAATATGGCTAAAGAGTTTTAGGGCACACACCGTTGCCACATACAGATGTTTGTTGTGAGTGAGTTTCTTTTTCACATTAAACAATACTGTCCAGGAACAGTCTGGCCCTGCAAAGCCCACTGTCTTTCCACTGCACAGTACAGACAGCAGGGAACCTGGACATTCCACCCTAGAGTGGATTAGTCTTGGAAATCCAGGCGAGCACTTGGTATTATCTGATACCAAGTCTGGGGTGAGCCTCGGCTCCTGGCACGGAGTACTAGCAATTCCCCAGGCTGGGCTCTGGCCTGCTAAGGTTTCCTAGCTCCTTCTGTTCAGCTAGACACCCCTGGGACTGTTCAGAACCGAATTAGCTATAGAGATGGGTGAGCCTTTAACCTGACATTCCTAACCTTAGCCTTGGGTTTCTTATTTAAAATTCTATAGTCATTTTCTTCTGGGCCTCAACTAAGTGTGTGTGTGTGTGTGTGTGTGTGTGTGTGTGTGTGTGTGTGTGTGTGTGTGTGTGTGTGCATTTGTTTGTTACATGGGCCTCCTCATACATACACAGAAAAAAGTAGTATATGTCCTATGGAGGTGAAGTGGACCTGCTGGCTACATGACACAGAGAAGTTCTGTAGTAACTTTTGGAGGTAGGACCCAGTTAAGATGTTAAACCTATATTATAGTTGAGGGTTAGGTTTAAAGATGATATTATTCAAAGTAAAGGCCTGTGTTTCTTGGCTTAATGCAGTAATTTTAATTTGGGGGTTTAAGATGTGACTCAAGTGCTGTGGATGGCTCTTTCACAAAGGTTCTTCCATTAATAAAGTTCATGCTAGTTTAAAAGAATGACCTAGAGGTTCTTTCAGATGAACCAGGCTCTCACTTATCAGAATCCCAAACAGTGTCACTTAAGAAGCTTCATCAGTCTAAGAGGATGGGAGGGAGCTAACTCGGGGACTGCATGGCAGGCTGGGACCTGTCAAACTATTACATATGGGATCATGAGGCTGAGAGAGGGATCAGGAAGGTCGCTCTAATGCACTTATTCCATCTCTATGTTCCTTACCAGTGGTAACCAGCACTTTCAAATTTCTGCATTAGCATCAGTTTACCCATACACATATATGAGTTTAGAGTCTATTGCACTTATCATGGGTATTTGCCTGATACCTACTCCCCAGGGTAGGAAAAGTTAATAAAACAGTTGTTCTATTATTCCAGTGTTTTCACTGTTTATTCAGTCGTGAGTAAGATCAGAACAGGTTATTGTGTTCTTCATTAACAAAACTTTAGCAAATTCTGCTCTCTAGTAAAACTGGGAAGCAAAATGACTGGAAAACAACTGGATCCTTTATTTTTGTGCTTTTATGAGTCTCTCTCTCTCTCTCGTGTGTGTGTGTGTGTAGCCAACGGAAAGGAACTTAACTCTGCTTTATTTCTTACTAATTTTTGCAGCGACCAGGCACTGTGACCTGACTAACCCATGGGGAACTTTTTAAATCTGAAGTAGCAGAGTATTTCACAGCTCTTGTCAGACAGGTCTAATGATTCTGGGGGTCATCCCTATGTGTTCCCCAAAGAGCACCCTTGTATCCCTCCCTAAGACAGCAAGGAGGCCATCACCAGGTTTCTTGTTAAAATACAGAAGATGGCTAAAAAAAAAAAAAAAATCACTTTCCCTCTAATGCTTCAAAATAGTTACTAATAAAAAAATTGATTTTTAATTTATCTGTGCTGCCATCTCTCTCTCAAGATGACACAGCCGGTGTGAGCTGACAAGTCTCTCACACAAAGCGTTAATAGATCACAATGGAGAAGTCGAAATTGGACAGCTTT